TTAAGAAGAGACTGGACAGCCATTTGTCCGAAATGGTATAGGGTTTCCTGCCTGAGCAGGGGGTTGGACTAGATGACCTCCAAGGTCCCTTCCAACTTTATTATTATTATTATTATTATTATTATTATTATTATTATTATTATTATTATTATTATTATTATTATTATTATTATTATTATTATTATTATTATTATTATTTAACAAACATTCTCATTTGCTTCTCGCCGGCTTCTCTATTGTAGGGCTTTTCAATCTTTTCAACCATTGTACCACTTTTAGGATATGGCAACATCCGAGTACCACCAGTCACCTAGCAAGGTGTCAAAAACTTGATAACCCCCCCCCCCCTGCAAAAAGCAAAAAACTGATGAAGTACAGGTAGTCCTCGACTTACAACAGTTCACTTAGTGACTGTTCGAAGTTACAATGGCACTGAAAAAAGTGCCCCCCCAAGCCACAGCAGAGCAAGACACCTGCCTGCCCACCCAGCCGCACTCTTCCTCCTGTCCGAGGTTTTCATTGTTGTGAGCATTTCTGTTGAGGATTGGCAGCGGGGGTGGGGTGGGGGGGTGTTTGGTTTTTATTCCCCCCGTCGGATGGGTGGTTGCAGCAGGTTTTGGTCACTTCACATGACCCTGGGACACTGTGACCGTCATAAATATGAATCAGTTGCCAAGCATCTGAATGTAAATCATAAGACCCTGGAGATGCTGCAACATTCCAGTTGATCGGCGTTTCTTCTGGGCTCAGCAGAAGCACCAGGATCAGCGCCGAGCTCCAGCTGGAGCCTGGCGCTGATCCTGGCACTTCCGCTGAGCCGTGACAGCCCTGAAGAAGTGCAGACCAGCTGGAAAGTGGCACTGATCCTGGCGCTTCCGCTGAGCCCTGACAGCCCTGCAGCTCCAGCCGTCTCTCGCTCAGGCTTGTGCGGTGCTGCCACCGGTTCAGCTCATTCCCCTACTCCGCTACCACTTTTCTAGGATGGTCGCGTACCACCTGCCAGGTGCCAATGTACCACAGGGGGTACCCGTACCACTGGTTGAAAAGCCTTGCCCTATTGCACAACGTGAAAACAAAACAAACAAAACAAAACAAATTCTCACCTTTAAGAGGGCTTGACTAAACCTACGCATGACGTTCAGGTACATTTCATGAGTTTTGGGATCCCTCTGTTGCGTGTCTCGGTCTTCGCACTCAACAATCACGTACCTTTCACGAGGGAAAAGAAGGAGGTGGTATGACTGGAGGAGAAAGAGCTGCAAATGACCAGTTTGGGGAGAGAAGGTAATGTCTACACGCAGTCCTTGACTTACGAGAATGGGGACCAGAATTTCCATGGCTAAGCAATGAATCACGCCTGATTTGACAATATTTCTTTTGCCACAGGTTCTTAAGCAAACCATTGCGGTTGTTAAGTGAATCGCTTAGTCATTAAATGAAGCCAGCTTCCCCCCATTGACTTTGCTTGTTGGAAGACAACTGGGATGGTCATCAATGGTGGCCAGTTGAGCCTAGGAAGGTGCAACGGTCATAAATAAATCCCAGCTATGCAAATTTTGATCAGATGAGTTTGCTGTGATGATTGTAAGCAGGAGAACTGATAACAATAACAATAACGAGAAGGAGAAGAAGGAGGAGAAGGAGAAGGAGAAGGAGAAGGAGAAGGAGAAGGAGAAGGAGAAGAAGAAGAAGAAGAAGAAGAAGAAGAAGAAGAAGAAGAAGAAGAAGAAGAAGAAGAAGAAGAAGAAGAAGAAGAAGAAGAAGAAGAAGAAGAAGAAGAAGAAGAAGAAGAAGAAGAAGAAGAAGAAGAAGAAGAAGAAGAAGAA